TTAGGTTCAGGTCTGTCCGCCTGTGGGGCCTAGAGGCGCCGCCGCCGCGGAACCGGAGGGACGCCGCACCGGACAGCCGTCGCCCCGGGCTCCTCGCTGCTGCCTGGCCCTCCCCCTGCACCTCCCGGTCCCGCCGTCCGCCCCCGCTGCGGCCCCCTTGCCGGTCTCCAGCCCCGCGAAGCCACAGATCATCTTTGGATTCTTCCCCAGAAGCTTCAAGGTAACTTCGTCCCTCCAGCACCGCGGCTTGTCCGCTTCCCTTCCTCCTCCCGGTCCTCCAGGGGAACCTGCAGGGCACCGGCCTTCGGAAAGGCCTGGCCCGGGCAGGCGAGGGGTGCGGTGCGGTGCGGTGGGGTGGGGTGCAGTGCAGGAGACGCGCGCCGGTCCCACTTGTGTGATTTACCTGAAAATAATGCTTCTGATGATACCTCACATTCACTCTTCCTACCTTCCCCCTTTTTCTCCACCTTTTGGGATTGGAGGCGTATTCTTGTCCCCCTTTATCCACTGGCGGGGGCGGGGGAAAGAGGGGTTTGGTGTAGTGAGGAGGATTCTGTAGCAGTTTATCTTCTCCAGGGCTTGGGGTGTGAGGTGAGAGCAAAGGGAGTATGTAATCATCCCTCCAGACAAACCCTGCCCTGTCTTTCTCCTCTCACTCCCCTTTACCCCCTATGGATTATCCTGAGCTTCGGAAATGCCCGGTGCCGGCTATTTAGAGGATGATAAAGCTTCGGGCGCCCTGACCCAGGGCGAAACCTGTTTCCCGGGGCTTTGCACGGGCCCGCTGCTATCGTACGTTCAGTTCTGCAATGCTTTAGGTGGCAATCTTTGACGTTTATTTTGGGCCGCGGACATTAGGGGCAAATGAAAAAAAAAAAAAAGCAACATATTGGTTGTGTAGAAATGGGAGATGAGGAATAAAGAGACAAAAAGAGTGATGGAGGAACAGAATTAACTGAAATCTTGTGGTGTTAGGGTTAGAATTTAAATAATTCGCATACCAGATTGAAGAAATTTTCAACGTTCAACTGTGATGTGGAGCTTCTTGCTGATTCAGTCAGTTAAGATATCTAAAAGTATCTTACGTCTTATGTAGTCATTCATGGTTTGGAATTCTATTTCAATCAGTCACATTATATTTATAGCTAAATTAGGTAGATTAAAAAAAACTTTTAAAGTGAGAACCAGTGAATACTTCAAAATTCTGCACCTCAAAACCACATGCTTTTTTTAAAAAATATTTTTGTTATTTTCACTTTGTCAGAATTCAGTTGACTTTTTACTCTTACACATTCAGGAAGAAACTCCCTTATTCTTTTATTTAGAAGTTAAAAACCACTTGTCTTATGTATTGGAATGACAGGTGAGTAATTGCATTTCAGCATTTCCCCCCTACACATTATTTCTGTCCAAATCTGCCATTAATCTTGCATGGAGCTTCACTGCCATGGAAATGATGGCATCTGTTGAACTTGGTGGATGAAATTGAGCTTAATGCTTGTTACTTTTAGGAAATAGCCTTAGTTTAATAATTTGTGAGGGTTAAAACATGCAGAATTGCTCAGTTCCATCAGTTTGATGGAATGTATTTGGCATTTGATGAACTTTAAAGTGTAAAAAAACCCTCAACGGACCTAAACTTGGTTGTCTAAGTAGGCTGCGAATTTACTTGTATGTTTCCAGTTCGACTTTGGTGCTTGGTTCGTCGTCGTTTTGTTTATTAAACTTTAATAACTTAAGGTGGCTTCATTCCAAAAAGACTTCTTTGAAATGCTTTTAATTATGCCTTTTATGTGTTCACTTTAATCTAGCCTGTCCTCATTTGCAGTGTGGTGGTTTATCACAGCTAACGCAGCACACTGCATTGAAAATAATGCTTTGATAGGTTTTGGTAATTGTAAATTTCAGCTTGTTGTGATACATTGGTGTAGATCCTTAAAAGTACAATAAGAGTTTCAACTCCAGAATCCATTCATAATATTTAATATCTTGGAAAAAGGTACTGATGGAAGTTTTCCAGTTGTAGGATAGCTCCAGAATTACTTCAGGCATAGTGAGATGAATAGAGCCTTGCAGTTTGAAATGAGCAGACAGTGTAGAGAGTTTCTCATTCTAGGTGAACATCTTTAATACTTAAAGTGTTTACTTTTTTTTAAAGCGAGAGATTTTTGCTATAGGGCATGTATACTCGATGGAGAGACCGAGAGACAGAAAGTGAGAAATCATTCAGGGGTGGGGGATGGCCACATCTCCATCCCTTCTCCATTTTCCTCTCAGGATTTTGGACATGCACGCACATGTGCCTTGCGTGAGTTTTAGGCTTGCGGGTCTGGGACTCACCGTGGGAGTCCAGCAACGTAACCATTATGCCATCTGCTGGTCCCAATACGTACAGTGTTTAAAATGGAGCAGTATATGATAGATTAGAGTTAATGCTACACAGTATTAGAGTTATATGATAAATTACATTACTTTTCCCATCAAATTTTCAGATAGACCTAAGACATTTTTTTTTAATTGCCAGAGGACATATGTGCTCACCAGAGAGAGTGGGAGAGGAAGAAAGTACCCACCATGGGTCATGGGTCATGGCAGTTCCTTCTTAATTTCTCCATTCTGTGTAGATCTGGGTATGCATGTACATGCACCTGGTGTGTTTTTCAAGCTGCTGGGACTGGGATTCGAATTGGCCACGTGGGATCTGTCTCTCTTAACCTTTATGCCACTGGCTGACCTGATATAAGACTTCCTAAATTATTTAATTTATTTTTTTAGCTTTTTTCCCCATTCTTATGAATATTATATATGAAAATTTCAGAATGTGTCTACTCACATGCATGCTTCAACCTTGGGAATGTGTTTATGATATGTCTTTCTCTTCAGTAGGGATATGTCCTCAGCACCAACTACTCCTCCATCAGTGGATAAAGTAGACGGATTTTCTCGAAAGTCCGTCAGAAAAGCCAGACAGAAGAGGTCGCAAAGTTCCTCACAGTTTAGGTCTCAAGGCAAGCCTATTGAGTTAACACCTCTGCCACTGCTAAAAGGTAAGGCTCATGACCAGGTGATGCATTCTTTTTCAACTGATTTCTCTGTATCTATATATAATTTCCTTTTTTTTTTTTTTTGGTGGAATTTCATGTCTATGAAAATTCTTCGTTGCAGTTTGAAGGGATGCGAAGCTTCAGACACCTTGTACTAACTAGTGTGTGACCAGATATATCCACTGTTGTTTTTAAAGGGCTCACTTTAATCTAAATAACTGTGGACAAATGAAACTTACCATCAGGAGAATCACATTGATAACCAGAAATACTAAATGCCCGTGAAATTTTAAGATATTTGGTTCTGTGTTTTTCATTTTTCATTCTGTTGATATTTGGGTGGTGCATTGTATGCAGTGAAAACTGTTAATTGTCCTGTCTTAGTCACGAAGTAGACTCTAGTAGAGGAGATTGTGCCATTAACATAATTATATATAGAAAATGATGTTTGATCATTTTTAAAAATTAAGAGAAAATTGTTTATAGTTGCTTATTATGTATTCTTTTCATATATTGTAAATAGACAAGATGCTTAATACATTTTTCCTTTAGAATGCCTAAGAACAAGTTTTTAATATGAAGGCTTTTTTCATGTATTTGCTTCATGTGTATGAATAGGCATCATTTGTAATGTATCAGATCATAACTTTTATAGTGTGGAAACTATCAGAATTTACCACTGAAGGTAGACTTCTGCCTGTTGAATACGTAGAGTTGGGAGAAAGGAGACACGAGCAACACAGTGGACTTTAGTGGCTCAGAGGAGGAGACCAGACAACCTATATTGCTACGTCATGAATGCATGTTTATATCTCCCTTCCAAATACTGACCATGTTCCAACCCTTCTTAGCTTCTGAGAATAGAAGAGATTTGGGTGTGTTCTGGGCTATATGACTGTAGACCATTAATGCACATTTATTTCTACAATAGTTTGTGAAGTCAGAAAGTATAATGAAAACTGTAGTATGACTGGGAAAGCTGGCTTTGGAAGAGAAAATTTTGTCTAAAGAGTTTGCTGGTAAAGATGAATAGATAGTCTTTACAAGGCTTTGGAAGAAATAATAGAAGGAAAAACTGTAGAGATAAAAGTATCCCCTCTTGAAATACAAAGTTGGGGGACATACTTGATTCTTTAGTAGTTTATTTAATCTGAAGTAGATGTGTAATAGCCACTAGCATCTATATTTGATAGACTTTATTCTGAGGGGGCAGATTAAATTTTTTTAAAGAATTATTTAACTTTGTTTTAATTTGACTAGAGAGGGACAGAGACAAAAAGAGAGAAGAGAGAAAGTAAGAAAGCAAGCAACCAAGTCCAGGACTTGAACTGTGGTTGGCCATGTGGGAGTCCAGCACCCTTCACCACGCCACCTGCAGGTTCCAGGATTAAATTTTTTTAGGACTAGAAGGAATTTAAAAACTGTTACATTATGTCTTTGGGCTCATGGTATTAAGTATTTACCAGTACTTAAATTCTAATTTAACTGACTATCTATAGCCAAGGTATTGGTGTTACAGTGGTCTAAGAGGTATGCATGAAAAGAATTTGGCACATGTTTTAATACTTTGTCCTTCCTCTCTCTCTCTTTTTTTTTTTTTTTTTGTGTGGTAAAATATACATAACACACAGCTTGTTTTAAGTTTGCAGTTCATTGATATTAAGTACATTGAAGTTGTTGAGCAGTCATCACTGACATCCATTTCCAGAACCTTTTTGTCTTCCTCAACTGAAACCCCATACCCATTAGACCCTAACTCTCTGTTGCCCCCTACCCGTAGCCTTTGGCAGCTAGTATTTTGTTTTTGTCTCTATGAATTTAGCTACTTTAGATACTTCCTATAAGTGAAGTTATCCTTTTGTGATCGAGTGACTTATTTCACTTAGCATAGCGTCTTCAGTGTCATCCACACAAATTGTAGTATGTGTCAGAATTTCTTTTCTTTTCTTTTTTTTTTTGGAGAGGTTTTTGCTATGGGGCTTAGCGCTTGCCAGAAAGACAGAGAGACAGAAAGCAAGAAATCACCATCCCCAGGGGGTATGGCCAGGCCACAATCCTTTCTCCTCCATTCTTCTCTCGGGATCTTGGGCACGCATGCTCATGTGCCTGGTGTCAGTTTAAGCCACCAGGTCTGGGACTTGAACCACGGTCGACTACATGGGAGTCCAGCGACATTGCCATTATACCAACTGCTGGTCCCCAATATTTCTTTTTTAAGGCTGAATAATATTTCAGTGTATGTATATACTACGTATTATTTATCCATTCATTTGTCAGCAAACACTTCAGTTGCTTCTGTCTTTGTCTATTGTGAATCACTCCAGTGAACATGGGTGTACAGATACTTGTTTGGATCCTGGCTTTCATTTCTCTTTGGTATATACCCAGAAGTGCAATTGCTGGATCTTATGTCTATTTTTTTTAAAGAAGTGCTGTCTAGTTTTCCACAACAGTTGCACTATTTTTCATTCCCCATAGCAGAGCACAAGGATTTCAATTTCTCCACATTATCACCAATACTTGTTACTATCTTTTTTTTAATGGTAGCAATTATAATGGGTATGGGGTGGTATTTCATTGTGGTTTAGATCTGCATTTCTCTATTAATGGTAAGCATATTTTCGTGTGTTTATTAGCTATTTGTATACTTTTCTTTTTTCTTTTTGGAGAGGTTTCTGTTATAAGGCCTGTGTGCTCGCCAGTAAGACAGAGAGACAGAAAGTGAGAAATCACCCTTGGATAGCCACGCCGCAATCACTTCTCCTCCATTCTCCTCTCGGGATCTTGGGCATGCACGCACATGTGCCCAGCGTGAGTATAAGCCTTCGGGTCCAGGACTCAAACCACGGTTGACTGCATGGAAGTCCAGTGACATAGCCGTTATGGCAACTGCTGGTCCTGTTCTGTCTTTTTTTTTCCCAGCCTTTTTACCAAAAAAAAAAAAAAAAAAGAAAAAAGAAAAAAGGTGCATGTGTTCTCCAGAGGACGGAGGAGGTGAAGTGGTGGGATAGTGCGGAGTGAGAAGTCACCCCCAGTGGAAGGGGGATGGACATGTTGCAATTCCTTCTCTTTCATTCTTTTAGAATTTTGGGTGTACATACACATGCAACCTGAGTGATTTTTAAGCTACCAGGTCTGAGACTCGAACTGCTGCTAAGTTGGCCATGTGAGTTCCAGTGCCTTAAACTCCATGCCACCTGCCGGCCCCACTTTTCTTATTTTTTTTTTTTTTTTCTTTCTTTTTTTTAAAAGGTTTTTACTATAGAGCATGTGCACTTGCTGGAGAGGAGAGAGACAGTGAGAGGGAAAGTGAGAAATCACCTTCTAGGGGGAATGGCCACACTGCAGTCCCTTTTCCTCCTGAGATTTTGGGCACGTATGCACATGTGCCTGTTGTGATTTTTATGTTGCTGTATCCAGGACTTGAACTGTGGTCGACCATGTGGGAGTTCAGTGCCATTACCACCATGCTCCTTTCTGGCTCGCTCTTTTCTCAATTTACAAAAGTTAAGTAGTATTGAAAGTTTCCCAAGAACTCTGCTGTCTAAGAATATGATTCTTGTGAATTTGTGTGTTTTGTCAGCGTAGGAGAATTGGAGAGGAACAGGATTACATATACCCACACACCTAATTCCAGACTGACTAAAAGTGATGCTGATGTAGTGAGAATGGCTAAATATTCTGGAAAGTATTCCATAAATTAGGTTTTTATATCTGTCTGTAGAAGAATATAAATAAATACGATCAGATATTGATTTCAGAAATATGTATTGGGAACCAGCAGTTAGCGTAATGGCTATGTCGCTGGACTACCACGTAGTCGACCGCGGTTCGCGTCCTGGGACCTGGTGACTTAAAACTCACGCTGGGTGTGTGTGCATGCATGCCCAAGATCCCAAGAAGAGAATGGAGGAGAAGGGATTGCGGCGTGACCATCCCCCCTGGGGGGGGTGATTTCTCGCTTTCTGTCTCTATGTCTCTCTCTCTCTGTCTGGCGAGCACACGCGCCCTATAGCAAAAACCTCTCAAAAAAAAAAAAAGAAATATGTATTTGCTCTTGATCTTTGCAGTGAATGCAAAATGTTTGGTAAATGACATGTGTTTTCCTTACAGTAGGTTGATTTTTATTCATGTATTACCCTCCTGCCGAAATTAGGGCCTGATTTATATAGATCATAAAGGAAATAGAGAAATTTTTCCCTACTTTTTTGTTTTTTTACTTATAATCCGAGGGAAAATGAATAAACTATATGCATATCAAAGAATAGTTATTGACATAATTTTTTATAGTATTGCTTTGACCAAATTGGTTTGAGTTAATTCTATTTGTGTTATAGTATTGGTTATACTTGAATTTTGTTAATTGTTTTTTTTTTTTTTTGCTTTGGGATATGTGTGTTCATTGGAGAGAGACAGAGAAAGTGAGAAAGGTCTCCAGCAGGGATAACCACTAGGCCACCTTCTCTTCTCCTCCATTCTCTTGTCTAGCTTTTGGGCATGTGTGTGTAGTCTCTCATACACACATAGAAATGCATATGCTTGTCCCTGTGCCTGCGCCTGCTGTGTTTTTCAAGTATTGGGTCTAGGACTCGAACTGTCTAGGATTCCATGAGGAATCCATCCACCTTAACCACAATACCATCTGACTGGCCTGTTAGTTGCTTTAAAGAATAAAGTAATAGCTGTATCCCCTAGGTCTTTAATTTCAGGAGAGTTTGCATATGAAAATTGTATAAATGTAGTAATTTGGTAGCTCATCTTTTTATTTATTTTTTTAAAAGTTTTTTGCTATAGGGTGCATGTACTCAGAGAGAGAGAGAAAGAGAGAGAGAAAAAGTGAGAAAGCACTCCTGGGATGGCCAAGATACAGTCCTTTCTCCTCTCCTCTTCTTTCCTCTCCTCTCAGAATTTTGGGCATACACACAGGCACCTGCTTTTTTTGGCGTATTTTTCGAACTGCGGGTCCGTGACTCGAACTGTGGAATTGGCCATGTGGCATCCAG